GTCTGTGCCCAGTGCAAATGAATAACCCTTATATGTTTTTATCTCAGCATTAGAATACACATTTGCATAGTACACATCACAGTGCTTTATGTCTATGCAAAAGAAAAGTGCCGACTTGATTGTTAGCTCTGTGTCCAACACACACACACACACACACACACACACGCAGCACTTCTGGCAGAAGTAGCATAGGTCGTTAATGTGTGTGCCATGGTGATGTCATTGATAAACACTTAGATTGTACAGGACAGTGCCTTACAAAACATCATGTTCAGTCATGTGAACACATTCCTGGCCACATGTGAAACATAATCCACTCACAGAGATTTTAAATCTTTAAAAGCAGTGTTTTTGACTTTAGGGCGTCCATTTCAGTATTTTAGCGAACCAAAGACTGCTTCATCTGACGGCTCTGCACTGAACACAGTCTTGTTCTTTCATGACTTTCAACACTAGACAGCATTTAAAACCCATTAGCATGTTTCTGTATTATCCACTAGATAACAATTACAGCTACCACACCTGGTTTAAGTCCACACTACATTCACTAGTAAACTACGCACAGCATCGTGAGAGTATTTATTTTCCTATTTATACTGATTTTTTTCTATTTCTCCTTTTTTACAACAGAACTTGAGAGCTGATTACAGCTTCCCATTTACTGGTCTTGTAGTATTTCTCTAAGTTCCCTCTTCTGTTTTTTTTCTGGCTTTAAGAGGCAAGCATTATAAAGAACCTTTGGGTGCAAACACGGTCACATGCTGCACTTCTGCTTTTCTCGTATTTACTTTCTGTCTTGTGGCTAAAACTTGTGAAAAAGGAATTGGACACCAAACCGTAAGATGACTGCACTTGTTGATTAAACAAACTTGGTCGTTTCTTCTGTGACTGGTGCTGTTAATTATGGTTGCACAGTGCATTTAGTTTTGCAGACTAATAAAATGCTTTGGATGATACCATGGCATACTTTGATGTCATCTTGTGGATATTTCAAACTTGGACAAAAGATTTCCCTGGTTTTAATTTTTGCTATTTGGTATGTTTTTAGTATTTTTTTTTTTTTTTTTTTTTTTTTTAACCTTGTTTCAAACTATTTCAGGAAAATGCATTTTTAATTATGATGTACACTTTGATAACCAGAGCACTGCAATCCTGTTAATCTTCCAAATATTTTGTATTATCGTTACTGCACTGCAAAAAAGAGTCTTTTATATTTAATAAATGTATTTGAACCACCTATTTCTGAGTCTCTGCATGTGTAATTACACAAACTGGGGAAGAAATTTCAGATGAATGCAGTTATTCTGCTAATAATTTTCTGGCAGTGTGTGTTGTTCCTGCCTTCCACAAGGCGGCAATGTTGCACATAAAAGGTTTGCACTGAACTATGTCACCAACTTAACCAGCCTATGCAATGCATAGACATTCATCTTTTTTTGATCTCCAGGAACCGCGACGTTTCTCTAAGTCATTCCTGATGCTCACAACCCCAAAGAAGTAAATCAAAGCAGGTCTGGGTAGTGTGGGGGGAATATGGTAACCCTGTCATCACTAGTAAAGACACTTGAGTGGCCAGCATGAAAGATGCATTAGGGAATCTGTAACCACCCAGACCAGTGGGAGATGGAGACATGACTAACACTGCTGAGAACTTGTGGGAAAAGCGACCATTATCCCACAAGTGACATCTTGAATAGAGAGTCACTGAAGCCTGCTGCCACCTGTGAATGCATGTGAAGTCCATGTGAGTGTAAGAGTGCACGATGCTGCAAAATTAAAGGGGCACTCCACAGATTTTCACATGACAGTTATTCAAAGAAAGCCTGTGTTACAGACGAGAGGTGTGGGGTTTGAAAGAAGTGTGCCTCTACATAGGAGGCAGGGGCGGTGTTAGGGATGTCAGTTTTGGTTAATTGTGCTTACAATAGCCCAGCACCTACAAACCGGTAACTTATTGGTTAATGTTTAAGACAAACATGCAAAATGACAGGAAATACAAGAGGCCTTTCTTTTCAGTTCAGTGCTCCATTAACTCAGTGAACTTTAGCTTCATATTTTAAAGTGTTTAGCCTACTGTTTTCCATTTAGAGGTGGTGCTTTAATAGTTTGTATTGTAAATGTCTTGCCTTATGTTTTATTTTAAGTTTGCTTTGCTTATAGACAGCCACGAAGCTGTGTTGACATGTGGAAGTGCTCACTGCCCACCCTCCGGCCTCCACTGGTTAGCTAGCCTCGACCACTCTGTACTGCACTGTGCCCAACCCGAATTGGGTGGGAGCTCATGAGCAGTGCCACTTATTCGCAATTATTGCTGGTAATGGTGACGTTGGTGCTGTGGAAACATGGTGGCCACTCCCCAGTCTCTTCCTGAATAAGCGGCTTCATTTTGAGCTGCAAAACTAATTTAATATTGCTACATATGTTAGCATCACTAGTCCTGCTAAGAGAGCGAATGGTGCTAACAGAGCCAACAGTGATGACATAGAAAGGGGGTTAAGGACTCAAAATTGAGCTCAGGGAGACCGGAGGGTGGCCGCCATGTTTCCACGGCACATTGTTGGGTTGGGACAGTGTTACTGGCAGCTATTGCCAAATGAGCACTGCTGCTTGCTACCTCCCACCAGAGCCGGGTGATGCACAGTGTAGTAAACTCAGTAGTAAAATTATCTATTGACCAACATGCGTAACAGGTCAAAAATAATCTTGGCAGTTAACTGATTAATGGTTAACCATAGAGATCCGTAGGTGGTGTAATGAAATGTTGCATTATAACGTGTTTCTGGAGCTTGATTCATACGAGGGGCTAAAATCAGGATATGGAGGCCTCTGGTGCTTTGATTTTATTTATTTTTTTTATTTTGAATTAAATTCCCTTGACTCTGTAAAAGTGCAGTCCTTTAAAATTGCATATATGCGCTTTAAAAAGGGAAAACTATATCTGCTAAGGATTTTTTAGCCCTTATCAGATTTAAATGGGGGCTAGCATGCTAACACTAAATTTAAGTCCAATTTTCTAAAAAATTTTACCTCATAGACAAATTTTTGCACACCTTGGGATTATGGCAAATATGGCCTTTGACACAAGATCTAATGAAATCTATGTACAGCTCTCTGCACTATAACCTGCACAGCATATCCTCCATCCAGTATGTGCCTACATGCTCGCAGTAAAAGCATTATGAAAGCCTAGAGAGACGGCAGTGGGGGTGAGCATGAGGAGGTGCTGTCGTTTGAAAAGGCACTTGTTTATTGTTGGAGAGCATGTATTTATTTCATGCCTCCACAGATTGTGGGTAAGGGCAGAGCCGGCTCGGTCGGCGTAATTAGAGAGGTGGAGGGAGAGAGAGAGAGAGCGTTCTGCCACAGAGAGCTGCTTCGCTCAGATACTCTTACCCTGTGAGCCCTCCGAGAGCCCTGTAATGCACTCTCACTGGCACATACACACACCCACTGAGCTGTTAAGTATTGGCACACAGGCAGGGACACCTGTCTGGTCTAGTTTAATTAGTCTGATATGCAACAGTGCCGCACAAGTTATAATAGAAGAATGTTAAACACAGCAATACTTATATTTTTAACCTGAACACCCTCCTTTTCCTTTCTGTTTTTTTTTTCTTTTACATCTCTCTTTCCTCTCCCTGTCGGCCTTGGCGATCCCTCTGATTTGGCCCCGCTAATAGGGGGTCTGCTCTTCCTGTTCTAGGTTTACCAGCCAGGGAGGGACCACCATCCTGCCACCCAGTCACACCATCACTTGCACACACAAACATCTCAATTACAGCTTCAAAGTTTACACATGCACACACAAATACACACATAATGTAACGTATGATTTTTTTTCACCCTGTTGATGCTCTGCATACGAGGAAGTGTTTTTTACGGTCTTGGTTGATGTTTCAGTTCCTACCTCCCCTGTCATGATTGTAATTCTTCATGTCTATGAATAAACTTTGGTTCCTGAAAAAGGTGCCCGCTGAGGTTTACTTAAAACCTGGAATACAGTTTATCAACACAACAGCCCAAGGCCCAAAATTTCCATGTGTCTAAATTCATCCCAAATCCTCCCGAAATGACTCAAAAAATAAATAAACAAGTGTCAAACATGCAGAAAGGCCTTCGTCTGGATATGGAGGGAGCCTGAATTGGACCCGAGCACTGAAGTGACCCTGGCAGGACTTTTCCCTTCAGTTTTATGATCTGGATCTACACTCATGACTCAAATCCTTATGCTCTCTCTGCCATGATGATAGGTTAGACTATAGTAACACACTCCTGGGCAGGGGTGGTATGGCATATTCTCATCAGTCACGTGCACCACGGCTACGGTGAGGCTAGGCCTATTTTAGAGCCGGTGGTTTGCGGCCATCTCAACAAGGAAATATCTACCCTGTGGTATAGGGAGCTTCTTTGAGACACTTGGGGCTTGATGTTTGAAACTATTCCGGAACCAGAGTCCTTCCTGTTGGTTACATTCACACACACGTACACCCAAAGGTTTTGTAACGCTCTGCTCGTGCAATTGTGTAAAGCTTCCTCAGCCTATCAGGGAGGGTCAAAGTGAAGAGGCCCAATCAGAGAGAAACACTTGATTTGATTATGAAAATGAGTTTATGAAATAACCCATTGTGAAACAGGCGTTGCTGCTTGAGATACATTTCTGAAATATTCACCATCAGATTTTTTATCTGTCTGGAACGTCTTTGATCTCAAGCATTCACCCACACTCACATAAATGTCAGCAAAGACAGAATAAGTTAAAATGACAAATCCTCATCATCACTACTTTGATGTTTTTAGATTTCATATGCAGACAATTCGGTTACAATCCAATAAACCAGCTTTGCGTTTGAGCATCTGACTGACTTCTATATGGGAGAAAGATACCAAGAGGGAAAGAGAGAGCAGGAGGAGGGAGGGAGGGAGGGATATAGGGAGAAGGAGGGCAGAAGGGAGGATTGACTGAGGAGAGCATTTAGTAGGCACACTCCTTCACTCAGTCACTCTCCCCTAGCCTGTGACGTCCACCACTGCAAACATTTGCTGCCTGCCAGGTGAGTGAACTTTCACCTTACCTTCTCCTTTTACATTTTTTCTTAGTAAAGAATATTGATTTATTTCCACTTGATTTGTAAGTTATATTTATTTACTGTTTTATTTTAGTACATTAGCATCTGAGTGCAAGTGTAACAGGTGTTTTAAGGGATGAGATGCTTCTCTCATCTCTTGATTCTTTACTTTAACTAGATAACTAGATACATTTTAAAATTCGGCATGGTTGTTATACTGTCAAAGTTACAACATTTAAAGGAAATATTTGTTTTTAATTTTGCTCCTACTCTGAATAATTAATCAGTAAAAAGAGATATATGGATGATTTACACAGTAAAAGATGTGTTTTTCCACTATGATTTATGAGTCCAGTCTGAAAAGTCTGTTTGTTTGTTTGTCCCTTTGTAATTTTACCGTCACAGTCAGAAAAACAGATTTTGTGTATTTTGTGCTCAGTGTTGTTCTGTGGCGTGCAGTGATTTAATGCTTTTCAGTGTCTGTCTCCACCACTGCGTTCTTGTTTGGCTGTGACACTTGTTAACCTCCAGTTAAAACCTGCCCCATGTTTTTTTGTCTGGTTAGTTAGCCCTGGGGGATGTTTATTCACGTGAGTTGCAATACAAAAGTGAGGCTGGTGTATCTCTAATTATATGCCTATGTTTGACATGAGTGAAAAGTATTCATTTTATGCGTTTTGGCTTGGATTGCGTCACTGCGAAAATTGATGCTGCACCAGTGAGTTAAATCAAATGTTGGACTACAAAGCAAGTTTTATTTCTGTGACTGTGAGCAGCATCATTCATTTCATGGCTGTATTCTGCCATTGAGGAGACTACCTGAACTATTTTGTCCAGAGGATGTCACCGTTGGTCCGTTTAATAACCAGACTGGCTGCTTGTGTTAAAGGGAATTACTCTTTACGCACAGTTGTAGAAGTTTAAGGGTGTATCTTAAAGAGATGATGGATGTTTTTCATTACAGTGAAATTAGCCTGTAGCTTTAAACTGGCTGCTTCATTGACAACACAGTTAAATGACTCCACTGCTCAGTTTAATAAATGAATAAAATAAGTTGTAGAATAAAGTAAATAATATCGTGTTTCAACCTTCAGCCTACCTGCAGACCCCCTCCTCTCAGTCACGATGACCCGCACCCTCTGCTTGAGCTCCCTCCTCCTCCTCCTGCTGTCCCTCTCCTGCCCCGCACGCGCTGAACCCCGCCGGACCACGTCCTCTCAGCGCAGGGCGCCGCGCGCACCAGCCGCCAAGGTGCGTTTGGCGGGCAACTATGCGCGAGAGCCGCACGAAGGGCGCGTGGAGGTGCTGCACAACAACACGTGGGGGACCGTCTGCGACGATGAAGTGGACATCAAGCTGGCCAACGTGGTGTGCCGAGAGCTGGGCTTCCAGAGCGGTGTGACGTGGGCACACAGCGCCAAGTATGGAGAAGGAGTGGGTGAGAGCACTTCCTGTGACAAATTACAATTAAGCCACATGATAATTTTACTGAGGAATGGTCAAATGCCTCCATTTTGTAATAGGCCAGAGCCATGGGTGGATTATGAGACAGTAGGCCCCTGGGCACAGATAAGCAAAGGGCCCCACCACCTCTCCTACAGAGGAGCAAGACACAGACTTTGTGGTGGTTTTGTGTCTCTTTGTAGTTGTTAAACATCTTCTTGTGGTCATTTTGTGTCTCTCTGATGTAATTTTGTGCCTTTTTTGCAGTTTTGTGTCTCTGTAGTCATTTTGAGTCTCTTCCTGATCGGTAGTGTTAATATACATTTGACATTTTGCAAGTTAAGGCTAGGGGGCCCCCTGACACTATGGGTCCCAGGGCCTGTGCCTGGAAAGCCAATATAAGTCCCATTTCCACCAAACACTTTTGGTATAGCACCTTTTAAACCAAAAGTAACTCCTCAGACATTGTACGTAGACTCTAGGTCCGTGTAGCATTTCCACCACAAACAGTACCCTTAAATGTGGGTGGCTCGGGGATTTAGTGTTGCTGGAGCCCACAGGAGTGATGCTCCATGACGCTTTTTTTCTCCGAGTGAGGATTGGGATATACGCTGTCCCGGTAGAAATTAATATATACATACAGTATATATATAAATGCTTGAAGATCCACTCACTACTAAAAATGTATATCATATAAAACTAATGTAATGATCAAAGTTGTCACGGTGAAATTTAAGGTGTGTTGATGGATTTACGTCGTCAGCTCACGCATTGAGTAACATTACAAGTTAACGTTCCACCTTAAAAGTCACCAGCAGTCAGCCCAGTGAATTAAGTTATTTTTTTCTCAAACTCCAGCTGCTGCTAGAGGCAGCAAAACATCCTTTCATTTTACAGTTATAGTTTACTAATAAAACTCTCCACGATATGAACGGTGGTTACATGAGCTTTAAAACCAGCCATAACTCAGCCCTGAGCAGAGTGACCGTCCCCTCTTGACCAACCAACAGACTGCAGCGTTCACAGCTCCACTTTTTAGTACCAGATCTGTGTGCTAGGTACCCCAACAGAGGGGGGACCAAAAATGGGGATGGTACAGAACGGTTCCATTGGTACCATCCACAACTTTTCACAGTGGAAACGGGAAAAAAGCGTACCAAACTGAACTATACTGCACTGTACCGCTCGGTGGATACAGGGCTTTTGTGGTAATTTTGAGTCTCTTCCTGGTCAGTATGTGTTAATTTGACATTTTTTAAGTGAAGGCTAGGGGGGGCCCTGACACTTTTGGCCCCTGTGCTTGTGCCTGTTCAGCCCATTTATGAATCCATCCATGGCCAAAGCCGAAATGACTGGATGTGAGTGATAAAACAAGCTATGATAGGCTTTGACATTTTGACGTGTCATAGCAGGAAAACCACGGGTGTAATTAATGACAGGCTATTAATAAGGGCTACAGTCCATTTAGCTTTACTAGTTCAGAGCCCTGCTACTGTGCATGCTGGCTCACTGACAAGACTTACTGACCCTCTTAATTGGAACAGAGCCATCATTAATGGTATTAATTACACCTGTGCTTTTCCTGCCGTGACAAGTCTAAATGTCTGCTCCAAAAAGGGCCCATTACATTATCACCGTCAATTATTAGATTTAAGACGTCTTAGACTCAATGGCAGGCGGCCATATTGGACCATTTTATTGCAACCTGTCTCCTCCAAAATATCCATGCTACACCGTGCTTCCCCCACAACGCACTTAATGTATGGCTTCATGAAAAGACCACCAATTAAGAGATCCAAAATAACATCATAAAGTGACAAAGATAACTTGTTGTGGGATTGGAGTCTACATCTCGTTAAGGTCGCCTGGCAGGCTGGCAGAGCAGATATGTGGGCCAAAAAAGGGCATTTGTTTGAGAATAATGACAGCATTCGCTTGCCAGAGTTGCGCAACGCTGTGGTTTATGGACATTCTTTACTGCCGCTTTTAAATCCAAATTAAAGAGAAGGTTGAGTGGATTCAAGGAGCAGGATCTACAGCACCCTGCCTTGTAAAATACTGTGTATCTACCGCTAAACACGCCGCTAAGGTGCAACCCTAAATCAGCGTGCCAGTAAAAGTCAAGTGTTAGGTGTTTAGGAACGGATTCGGGCCCTTGTGTAGATGCAATGCTCAATCTGTCTATTGGACAATCAATGAAAGTCACAATGAATGAAGTCATGAATTGTTTATCCTTTCACAGGCCCGATATGGATGGATAACGTACGCTGTGACGGCACAGAGAAGTCCTTGAAGGACTGCAAACACAACGGTTGGGGCGTGAATGACTGTAAACACTCTGAAGATCTGGGGGTGGTGTGCACTGTTGAGCGCAGGCAGGATCTCACAGCCAGTCGAGGCCACACCACCGCCTTCAGGCCCAGTGGCAACACCGCACCTCAATGGCAGGGCCAAGTGGCGACCCGCAGGCACTCAGGATATGGCTATTATGGAAACGGACATCAAGACATCCCCAGGTTCCAAAGACACCGCCAGGTACAGCAGTTTACTTCTGATACATGTCTATGTTACTCTTAGAAACACACTTAACAGTAGATGTGATGCGTGTCCTCCCGAAGGGTCACAGTAAGGTGCAAATCGAGGAGGTCCGTCTTCGTCCCATCCTCATGGCCACCAAGAGGAAGAGCCTGATCACAGAAGGTGTGGTGGAAGTGAGGCATGCAGGGAGATGGCGGCAGGTTTGTGACCTGGGCTGGAGTCTCAACAGCAGCCGAGTTGTGTGCGGGATGCTTGGCTTTCCGGAGGCTACTCAGCACAATGTCAAAACATACAAGTGAGTATGAACCTTTCCTGCTAGCTGCACCGAGAGCAACACATTTCACCTTTATGAGCTCATGTTATTAGATTGAATTACACTGGGCTGTTGATTGTAGTTCAGCAGGGCAACATGCTACGCCATTCATTCCACTGTTAAGAGAATAAAAACTCATCCTGAAGAATAAAAACACAGCAGTGGCATCCCGTTTAGAGCCACTTTGAGTAAAGGCTTTTTGTTGGGCTTATCTTCCTCTCCCAGCCACTCCTGCCCTGTGTCCCCCTTTACTCCCCCCTTTCTTCCTGAGCCTCAGGATGATGATAAAGGAATCCCTGTCCCCTCTCCGCTGCCCTTTCTCTACACCTCTCTCTAGGCAAATCACCTCAGCACACCTCATTGCCTCTTTCTCACTCCCTCTCCCTGATGCTATCTGCAGCCTGCAGCTCTCAGACAAACAGCCCCACTTTAACTTTTAGATTCCCGTGCTGAGGTGTAATATCACTGCTGATTGTGCTTTAACCGTCCCATCGATACCATGTGTGGGACAGAGGCGGCTATTGGAGAGCGGGATGAGGGTCTTTGTGAGGCGACTTGTCTTATTGGCAGGGCAGCCTCTGCAGGCTTAAGTCTGCGATGCATCTTTTTTACTTTTACATACCACTTCAACAGCGTGTGTGACATGCTGCCATAGTGGTGTGTGTGTGTGTGTGTGTGTGTGTGTGTACTAGGGCTGGGTATCATTTGACATTTTCTAATACAGTTGCCAACACCATACTTTATTCTGGGCACCAATACAAAACAATACTTCTTTCAAAATGTTAGTTCAGGGAACATAGAGATATGTTCAGTGTGTATTTAAAAACAAAAGCTAAACTTCTTTATTTATCAGTGTTTAATTTTGTCTCTTAAGGTAAAGTAACCGAAAGAGAAGTTTCCTAACTTCCTAAAAATATGATTAATATCAGGAAGTAACTTATCAAATGATAATTAAACAACAATGACCAAGCCTTTAATCCTCATTTTTGGTATTTTTTGGCACATTTCAGTATTCATTGCTACAGACACATATCAGTTGCTGTTTAAAGGCATAGTGCTTCGTTTTGGAAAATAAGCTTATTTGCTTTCTTGCCATAAGTTAAATGAGAAAATGCCCCTTGGTAAATGTATAACTGAAGCTAGCAACTGTTAGCTTAGCTTAGCATAAAGACTGGAAAGAGGCGGAAACAGCAAGTCTGGCTCTGTCCCAATGTAATAAAATCTAGTAACCTGTTATATTGTGGTCGTTTAATGCATGACATTTGGTAAAAGGGGTTGGTAAAAGGATTTTTTAAAAACCTTTTGAGCTAGGCTAGCTGTTTCCTCCTGTTTCCAGTTTTTATGCTAAGCTAAGCTAACTTCCTGCTTGTTCCAGTTCCAGCTACATATTTAACTGACACATATGAGAGTGGTCTCAATCTTCTCATCTAACTCTCGACGAGAAAGTGAATTTCCCAAAATGTCAAACTATTCCTTTTTTTAAAGTGTTCGATACCCAGCCCCAGCATGTACCGTACATGTGCATACTCTCAGTACGATACATATGCTTGAATGCACTGGGCCTCACTCACCAATATCGCTCTATTTTTTTTCTTAAATATGTTCGTGAGAAAAGTCACATGAAAAGTCTACATCACATTCACAACATGTTGTTAAACCGCTGAATTGTTTGCACCTGTGTTCTTATTATGACACACCCTATTGTCCTCATTGACATCAGTCGACAGCAAACCCTGTTGATCATAATTAGCATAGGTAAACGCCCTGCAAATCCCCATAAAAGGGCATGTGCCTGCAGGGCCGCGTGCCCACAGGGAGACTGAAGAAGTCTGACCACAAACTGCAAATTTTATGCACTGCAGTAGCACAGCTGTCAGGAATATGGGCAGAGACGTGTGCCACTGTGCTCTCCAAGCTGTGTGTATGTGTGTTTAGAGAGACTTATAGAATTATTAGAAGGCACGGTCCCCATTAAATAACTTATGTCAATGAAGAATGTAGTATTTATTTTAAAAGGCCATGATACTTTTTGTTAAATGATCAAAAAATGGTTGGTGAATTAGGCCCATTGTGTTCAGGTGTCTCCTTCTGCCCCTTTGACACATTTCCTCTCCTGCTGAAAAGAAAGCATTGACAGCGGTTTTTGGGGAACGTTCTGCTCTTAAACCGCAGGAGGACCACACATCAGCTATTGCTATTATAAGAATGAATAGTGTCTGACCATTCGCAGTCCTCAGTAGAAGGGGGACCCAGTTGGAAATGGTTCCTGGAGAGCTGCCGGCTCTAGGTGATTCACAGTTTAGCTATTCCTTCCCTCTCTTGGCTGGGGTTATTCTGACTCAACTGGCGACAGACCACAACATCTGCTCTATGCTGCAGGTGCTAGATTCCTCTTTCTACTGAAAGGCTGTTGAGAGGGTAACTAATTTGTTTTATAGACTTTTTCCAACTTTTTATTGACTTTACAAACATTCCCTATTGGAGCACTCTTACTCACTGGAAGTATTTCTGCATTGCCCTTGAATTAAGCCATCTCTGCTGAACTCTGTTATTGGGAACACAGTGACGCTATAACTGGATTGTATTGTTGGGAGGAGGGCATCATCAGGCATCATATCTTCAGTAATAAAAGGTCCCCTGAATGAGCTGTCGTCAAACAGCCCGGCCTGACTCTGTACACGATCTGTACAGGATCATTTATTAGAGCACGGCTTCCCCGCATTGCAGGTGTGATGCTTTTCATGGCTCTCTTCGATTTTCTATCGCAGCACAGATTCGCCACTTAATGTAAAGAATGGGAGATGAGAAGTACAAGTTATAGTTGAGTGAGGAATTAGATGGGTAGATTTGTAAAGGCTGCAACATAAGAGACTTGGCTGCGCACCAAGAAGAGAGATATGACAGAGGAGGACAGGGCTGCTGTAGCTTGAAGGGCTTGGACTGAAGCCTGCAGGGAATCTGCTCGCTGGCTGTTTCATGATGTTGTTTTTAAATCTCCCTCTGAGGTCAAGGAAGAGAAATTTAAACAACAGCACACTGTAGGCTCTTTTAGTCTTCGACCTAAGCCACCGCAAAGTGGATAATACTGCTTATCCAACATATCTGCTTCTAAATGTTCAGTGAAACGTTTGGGCAAGCGTATGCCATTATGTTGATTTTTTTTTTTATTGTGCGTGTAAATTAGAAGGCTCTGGCATGGAAGCGGTTGTGACTTGATACATCTTGGTGTGCCTGTCCTGGGTATGACCTGGTGTTTTGCTGCTATACTGGTCTGAACCACGATGATGTGTTTGTTTCCAAATCTGTACCTGTTTTCTATCTGCACAGATGCATATTTGTTCTCTCGCAGTACATGTTTTTGACTTCAAACTGGTTCAAGGTGTACAAACGCCTCAACATCTTAGCTGCCAGTGCTAAGTTATTCTAGTGATTGGGTTTCAGGATTAAACCTTGTCTTTCTTATTGTATTGGGATGTTTATACACAATCAAAAGCTGCAAACAGAAGAATACTTAAAATACAGGTAATGCTGTTTCAGCCTTTACTTATGTGTAATTGTAAGGATCGCACTCTGACTGAAATTGCCACCGTAATTATAATCACTGTGCAAAATGTGAGCAGAGTCACGCAGAAACAATAGAGTACAAAACAATATGATGTTAAGTTTTCATGTAACATGTTCCACTTTAACAGTTGCCAGAAAAGCCTCAGATTGCATCGCATGGTTCGACCAAATTTAGCCGGCAACACCCCCCCCGTTACTCCACCTCGCACAGTCCATTCTTAGAAATCCTGGACCATGCCATGTCTCTGGGCTCCCTGTGTCTCTTGGATGAGACTCTGAAGATGCTGTAATTACAGGTTGGTCAGGACCAAGGCTCTCCGGGGTTTCTGCTGAGAGTGAAAAAAAAACACCCCCCAATTATAGCTGTTAGTGTGAGAGAGAGTAAGACATAGAGGAGGAGGAAGAGAGTAACAAGAGAAAGAGGAGATGGAGAGAGAGTACAGGAGCAGCCAGTCGGACGAGCCAGATTTTCGCTTGCTCGTGTGAAATATGTCCAATTACAGCTGCAGTTTGCAGCACGGCCCGCTGTGTCAGCAGCTGTCTGTCTTCTTCTGTCACCGTAGTGATTTGGGGACTTAGCCGGCATTTTATTTTTAATTATGTTTCAGCTGAAATTTCCTTTAGATGAGGGTATCATTTTCAGGCTCGTGTGTGACATTTTTGAGTGACCGAGTCTGGCTTTCCTGTCTGATGTCTGTGTGATCTCCCTCAATGACCTTCTCTTTAATTTATTTCACCCTCTTTTAATTTCTGTACGCATGCCGACAGCTATTTTTGTCAACAGACTGGAAGCCGGCTTTTAAGACTGAGTTGGAGCATAGTGATTTTTATAAGCTCACTCTGGTCTGCATGGAAATATTTGACATGCAAGTTCTTTTTCATGGATACTTAAATTAAATCTTCTATAGCAGTGGTTCCCAACTGGTTCAGCCACAGGGTGCAGATTTCTGTTCAGTCTTTTGTTCAAGGTCTACACAGTTTAATACATTCAGGGCATAGACTGTATATAGAGATGAATGTCGTGTCTGCACTTACCCCCACTGTTAGAGAGGAAGCTAAAACATCACTGATACAGCTGCTGCCTTCTAGCTTTGGTGACGTCATTCAGAGCTGGAGTCTGCGCTGTAGCGATCTCAGCAGTATCAAATTTCCCATCCATACTCCCGTCTGACCAATTGCAAGCAGCACCACTGAATGCGAGCCCATCAATTGGCTCATACAGTTGTCAATCATGTTGTAAAATTAGTGTTAATAGCATTAAATAACTAATTAAAAACAAACTTATCAGAAAAACAAACACTTGAACATACAGCAGCATGATAAAACTATCTTAAATGACAGAAACCATGTCTGGGAAAAATTTATTTGACAAGTACTTTGAGTTTTTAGTTTGGTCCATGTCTCATCCACTATGCTGCAGCCAGCCACTAGGGGGCGATCCACATGTTTCAGCTTCAGTTTTGGTGAGCTGTCATATCGTCCATCTTTATATATAGTTTATGCATACTTGCATTTAGCCATGTTGTAAATCTGCTGGAAATACACTGTACTTAAAAATAAAGTGTGTTTTTTAACAAACACACATTTGTGAGTCACTTGCAGTCCACCCAGAATGGACACAATGACCCACCTTTGGACTGCAATCCACCAGTTGCAAATGGTAAATGTAAACCAAAGTTTAATGCTAATATCTATTAGTAAAAAAGTAAATATGTATTATATTTTTCCTCTCACCTGTAGTGTCGTTTATCAGTTTAGACTGTTTTGGTGTAAGCTGCCAAGTGTTGGAGATATCGGCTGTAGAGATGTCTGCTTTCTCTCAAGTATAATGGAACTCGATGGCACTCAGCTTGTGGTGCTCAAAGTCGAGCCAAAAAATTTGTTTGAAAACCTCAACAGCAATGTCTCTTTCCAGAAATCATGAGCCAATAACTCAGGATAATCCACAGACTTAGTTGTCAGTGGTGTCATGTTTGAGCAATTTTCTTCTTCTATTTCTTACCAAACTTCACCCAACTTTATCACTGCGCAGAAGGAAGTGTGCATCTACTCATGGATGAGATGCGAGATGTAAACATTAATGGTGTAATGTTAGCTAGCTCAGTAGTGCTTTTTGAGCTAGCAGTAGATGCATTCTTCCTTCTGTGTAGTGATGCAGCTGACGGGTGTAGTTCAGTCACAAGAAAATGGTTCCTACATAAAGCTTTTTGTTATGTGGATTATCTTGAGTAACCAGATCATGATTTCCGGAAAGAGACATTGCTGTTGAGGTTTTCAAATGTATTTTTTTGTCACTTTGAGCACCACAAGCTGAGTGCCATCTTGTTCAATTATGTTTGAGAAAAGGCAAGATGTCTCTATGGCTGATATCTCCAGCACTCTGAAACTCACACCAAAACAATCCAGACTTGTAAACAGTGCTACAGGTAAGATTTCAGGGATGAACTGTCATTTTAATTTCAAAGACTATGCTCAAACTCAGTGTTATACTCTTATAAAATGAGACCAGGAAGTGGTGTTGCCTGCTGCAAGAGGATACTGTAAACTACAGCTTTTCTCAGCTCAACAGTTGTCCTAAATGATTTGTGTCTGCGGTTCAAATGCTATTTTTTTCAATCTAATTTGCACCCTGATTTTTGTTTAATTGTTTTTTAACAGATGTTTCAAGCATTTTCAAATGAAAAAAAGATGTAGTGATTTAGTTTTTAACAGTAAAACCAGAAGACAGAGAAATAAAGCCAGTGAGCAGTGTGAGTGTGATGAAACCTAAGCAGTGGTGTAATGCTTGTCTTTTAACAGGCGGGTGGGACTCCCTATCATTAGCTACTGTTCTCTTGGCTCCACAACAAGTGCTGGATACACTGTTTGCATTCTCAAGCAAGGCTGATGAATGCTATGAAGGTGGAAAACAGAGTAATACTGAGGCTGTCTGTTCATTGCATCAGCACTCGTTACAATTACATGCATTGAGATGGAACTGGTTCATAACTAACAGAAAGACCTCACTGTTAATGATTTCATTTTTATATTTTAAAAAAGTGAAATATGCCTTTTATTTTTGATGAATGAAGTTCAGCATTAGCAGACAGTGCTGTAACTCAGTCAAATGAAAGACCTGAAGGCTGAAGGTATCATTTATAGCCTGTGTGTGTAGTAGTCCTGTTGGTTTGTGAAGAGGGGAAAATGGTTAGCTGATTGGTCTGTGGTGAGGTCACCAACAAGTCACAGACATGTTTGCCTCATGGGAAACTGTGTGCATGTGTGTGCCTGCTCCTCACTGTCTATCCCTGATGAGATGTTAGTGCAGCAGAGCCACATGGTAGACACATTTAAGTTATTTTACAAGTGCAGTTCAAGACACTGTAAAGAATAAGTGTTAAATCCTATGCAATGTGTCAGTCGCAATTTACAGCAGGTCTCGTGAGCTCACGCTCGGCTTTATTTAGAGCCCCGCACGTGATTTAAAATGAGGGGAACTTTCCGCCTCATCAAGTCAAATGTTTGATATAGCGTTGAAAGGTAGCGAGCAATTTAAGCTGTTGAAATTTCATTTACAGATGTTCATAATTTAAGTTCCTCAGGGCTGCATTTGTGCGTCAAATGAGGCTGAGAAATGACCTCAAGTCAATTTGAAGAGTGTTGTTCAAAAATAGTGTCTGTGATTTGCAAAACTGTTCGCTAAATGATTGCTGAAATGTAAGTACTCACATTTTTTACCTTCCTTACCAAATGCTAATATTTTTGATGAGAGGTCTCTTCTGACTACTTACAGCATCAGGAAACAGGTTGTTATGTGATTTTGGAAAGTGTTCAGTCAGCACTGCATGACTTCACACAACTGTCAACATAACATCATGTCAACGACAATGCGTCTCTTGATTCCAGCATCCTCAGTTTGTTTTTAAGGTTGTTTTTTTTTGCTTCACCGTTACGGGAATGTCTCAAGTTCATGTCAGATATTCAAATATTTATCTACCTGTGCTTTCATACAAATATCCTCAGACATGTTTGTTTCTTTAAAGGGGCATGCCACTGAAACCAGCAGGAGAGATTTTTAATGGAGGTTTTTTTTACTGTGTTAGTCACCACAAAAACATGAAAACCCTTTTAGCCTCCCTCGCTTGTGATGCCATGCTGATATACAGCTCTGCAGAGATTAAACATGAAAAGATGTACGTGCTTTGCTGTTCAATGCATTTTAATGGGAACTGTGCCTCTCCAGTTCATTATGATGAATGCTAGGAGTAAGTTTTTGCCTTTGACAGCCCAGTAAGCAGTATAGGCTATGGACAGTGGGTGAACAAAATGGCAGCTGTGGCTCCACTGATCACTTGTGAGGCACTGACACCTTGCATCAAGGCTGCCATTAGGATGTTAGTGTGAATGGGTAAATGACCCTTTGTGATGGACGCTGTGGATAAATGTGCTTTTTAAATGCAGCCATTTTCATAGGGATGTTGGACTCTAAATTACCTAATGCATTATGAACTTTAACTTTTTGGCACATAGCCTCACCAGAATATCTGTGATGTGCCAATATTGGCTAATAATGGGCCTTTTAAAATACCAGTCAGGCCGTAGCGTGTGTATCTTGTGTGTGCACTTTGCAGTGGTTTGAGGATGTTCTGGCATGGTCTGTGTGGCATGTCTGCTCTGCGTGTCTGCCAAGAGAACAGAAGGCTTTCCTCTCCACCGCTCTCCCGAGTCCGCCAGCCTACTTGGTGCATAAATCTCTATTTGGTTCTGGCAAATTCTCAGACGTGCAGCGCTGCGTACTGCCAGAGTTTTTGTTTGTATATCGTGCTTGGTCAAACCCTGTTTTCCCAGAAATGTTGTACATCACTGATGTTGAATGTCATGAGCATTTGGACGGCGTGTGGCTTTGGAGGTTAACAACATGGTTTAAAATATCTCATATGTTTTTTATTTTTTATGTTTTATCCTTTTATAGTTTTTACATCCTGTAGTTATGTACAGATCCATATTATATTGCAAGAAGGAATGCTGAAGTCTTATATTCAAAGGGTCTGTTAGTTTAAAGGCCATGCGCATTTTTATTTAATGTAAAGGTTGGTTATTTAAATAAACTGTACCCTGCAGCTGTAACAGAGAGTACTGTTGCCTTGTCACTTAGGAACATATGATGTACTGACCACTTACTACAAACATAAACACAGTAAATATCAGGCAGCCCACATTCCAGATGGAAATATGTGCCACTGAACCTTTAAAGCAACAAAGAGACAGGAAGTGAGGTTGCTCAGAGAGAACAAGAACATTGTATTCCTCCTTGAACAATGCAAGTCATCGCCATGAATGTAACTTCACACTCACCACAAAGCCGCATGCATTGCTCATACTGGTTTTATATACAGAGGCTATATAAGGAGCTGTATGAGTCATCTTCTTTGATAAGGTCAGTGTTTGAGCTGTAACTATTTAAATCATCCCCAAGTACCCCTGTAAGACTACTTTTTTAGTAATAAGCAAGCCGGTGTGTGTGCATTTGTGAAGCTACTCGCTGTGGCAGAAAACCCTCCTGTGTGGCCAGGTTACATATAAAACAAACAGCAGATGCTACAGTATATCCTACAGTCACTAGCTCTTTGCATGAGAAATTGGTGACCCAGGTCATCTCACAGGGTGACGTGTGTGTGTGTGTGTGTGTGTGTGTGTGTGTTGGTAACCTCAGCAAATACACAGACTTGAGAGAACTAACATCTGTTCTTTGGTTCTGTTACAGGAAAATTTGGGATACCAAGGTTGCAGATCCTTCAACAAGGTAATAAAAAGACAATGATGGTTCCTTCGCTATATTTGTCCTCACTCATTTTGGGAGACCTAACAAGCTGAACTTTAGTTTGGATCTTTTGAAGTGGGGTTGCATGAGGTAGTTGTCCTTAGTCACTGTATTACGCATGTTGGTCGGTATGCCCCCTGTTTGGAGAAGCAGACAAAACTACCACCACAAAAGCTAAGCAGTGTACTGCTGTGGACAGAAGCGGTGGCAAAACATATTTTAGCCACCGAAAAAAATAGTAACAGTTCAAATAGACAGTATATTAACAACATTTCCATTCCTTTAATTTGACACAGACGGGCCTTTCCAATGGGGAGGCCAGTATTTTATGGTAAATTAATATACTGTGAGTAGTTCACAGTAACTTTAGCTCACTGAATATGTTATTGTGTGACCAACACTTTTAAATGCCAAAGTCATGTAATAATACAAAAAGACTAACTGGTTGAGGCAGAGGTAGACCAGCAGCTCCCATGTTCACCTATATTACATTAATGTTTTTTTCAATGTTGTCTGGCTTTTAAGAAAGCAATGTAACAGCTTCAGTTCCCCGTCAGAACTCACTGACTTGCTTACGGTAAAGTGGTGAAAATATTCTTAATATATCGTACACTTAAAATGATAAAGACATTTCTAAAGTGAGACTTTCTTAGGTGGCTAAAATATGTATTGCTGCTGCTCCCACCCACAGCAGTACATTGCTTAGCTTCCGTGGCAGTACTCCTGTCTGCTTCTCCAAATTTACATCTACTATATGTGAAACACTGACTTTGGATGAGTACCTCACACAACCCCACTTTAAAAGATATGAACTATCCATTTAAAGGCCCTGACAACCTATTTTCTCAGTCAGCCTCTGACTATGAGTGATGGAGTCCTACATAATCACAACAATTAACACAAACCCTCAACAAACAATAATTAAGGTTGTTTTTCAGATTTAAAATCAAGTTGTCAGGAGTTTAACAAATATATAACCAAAAACTTTCTTTTCTTTCTAGACTGAGCCTCATGGCAAAGAAGAAGGGATTCTGGGTAGAGAAAGTTCACTGTCTGGGCAGTGAGAACAGCCTGTCAGAGTGCATTGCTCAGCTGTCAATCCCTCGCAGTCCCTCTCCCTGTAAGAACGGGAGACATGCAGTTGTCAAGTGTGTGCCAGGACCTCAGTTTGCTCGCATCTCCTCAGGCAGACCCCAGGCCCCCTATCCAGCTGTGGTAAGATTAATACAGTTACGCCTACACCAGCACAATCAAGCAGTGTTTATGAACTGCACGTAATTATAAGATGAGTTATCTTCCCATTGCTGCCCTGTACAGCCTGTGCGTCTGAAGGCTGGCCCCAGGCTGGGCGAGGGCCGTGTGGAGGTGCTCCGAGATGGAAAATGGGGGACCATCGTGGACCACATGTGGGAAAGAACTGCAGCCAGTGTGGTGTGCAGAGAACTGGGCTTTGGTACTGCCAAGGATGCCTTGCATGGAGCCTTCATGGGTCAAGGTGAGAGAGAGAACAGCTGCTTTCACGCAGCTCAGGCTGGAAATTCTGGAGAACTCCCACATTTAATGTAATTGTTTTGAGTCTGCAATTTAGATGTTTGAATGTGTTTATCATGCGTCATGGTGTTCCAGGGAAGACGAGGAGACTTTTCCAGCCTTTTGCTTATCTTAGATGCCGCACCCGTCTGCCCTCACTGATCAGATAATGCACAGGCATGTGTGTCTGTCTGTCTGTGTGTGTATGTTACCTCATGAATCTGCAAATGTGTTGATTGCAGTATCTCCAGCTGTGATTAAATAAGTTCTGTGCCAGGGCAACCAGCTGCCCAAACAGCATGCATACGCGCACACACACACACACACACACACACACACACACTGACACACTAAATGTAATACTATAAGCCACGGTGGTTTATGTTGGCATTTGGTAACTAAAGCCACAGACACAATCTTGCTTGCTTCAAGCAAGCTTTTGATTCACTCTCTGAGAACTGTGGTCTTTTCCTTCGATTTCAAATTTCCAGCTTTGGTGATGTACAGAGTCAGTCGCAATCCAGCTGCGCCAGTGGTGTCCCCACCCTTACGAGATGTGAGAAAGGCTTCCCCATGCCTCAGGCTAGGGTGTAGTCTCTAATCATGCTGATGGAGATGAAATGTGGGATGACAGTCTGGTTTAGCTGTTCAGTTGATCATACATGGGTTATTTTTGTACGTGTTGGATTACTTTCTTTTACCTTTTCACCTCTTAAATTGGGTGATGTCATTTTTGCTACCTTTCTTTTTGATGAGTCTAACAGAACTACAGTCTGGGGTAGCTGGCTTCTCTGAGAATACTTATACTGCAGCAGGCTTCACACCCCTTGTCGTCTGGTTTCAATCACCAGTTTTAGTCGTTGGGACAGATTTCAGGTTCATCGTGGTTCCAGCAGTCTGAGGCAGAGGTGTTTAATTGTCAGGAGGGGCCAAAAAGCTTCCAATTTTCTACCTAAAATAGGTTTTCCCTGATCTAACAACCACAAAGCTACATTTGTGTATGTTCAAGTGCAAGCATGTGCACGGTGCTTCGTGTATGTAATGAAACCTGTCTCAGAATTATAACATTAAGATGTGGCTCTGGTTTGACAAATGGTAGGTTTACTGTGTGTTTTACCTCATATTACTCCTGTCTCGCTCCTGGAAATGCAGGTTTCCTACACCGTGTTTCCTGAGTTGGTGATTAATTCACTCACACTGTATTTTCGCCTTGTTTTCGTGGCGGCTAACAAAGAGGAAGTGTTTTCTTGACCTTGAATTGACTGTCTATCTGTGTGGTATTTTGGTGCCCAGTGCAGAGCGCACAGTGCACGGTGCACAGGTAGGAGGAGAGGTGCAAAGAGGTGGGCAAAGCAAGTTGTTGGTGTTTTGGTGGAAAATATGTCATGGAGAACAGGAGAATAGACATTTATTTCTGTCACTCAGCTGCCAGTTTGGTGATTTTGTCAACAACAGCAAACTATATACTTGGTGCGTATGTGCAAAAATTACGCAATAATGCCAAAAAACATGAATAAACTATTCTAATTAAAGACTCTCCAGTCATTAGATCAGTTTGCATTCATCTACAAATTAATATGAGTATTGGAAATTACTTAATACTGTATGAAAGCTTCTCTTTCAGTTCATTAAATCCCTGCAGCCAGCTGAGGACATCAAGACAGATATGTTTTTAAAACAGCAACATCCAATTTGACCAGTGCTGCACCGAGTGCGGTGCCATTATGTGCAGCTTCCACTGTGTTTACCTTGATTAAATTACATGCAAGTGACACCGGGCTGCTATAGAATAACCACACACACCTCTACACACATCTGGTCGGTATAATTACCAGTGCTTGTGAATCCTGCGCGTCACAGTCTCCTTTACAATTTTTAAAGAATGCTACAATGTGAAATTTGTTCGAGTTACGACTGAAAGACCCTTGGACTGATGTGACCATTTAAACAGCTTTACCAAACTTTTTTTTTTTTTATTATGTGCTTCTATCATTGTACTAATTAAGTGTTATAAAAAACCCACATCATCTACCTCTGGCTGCAGATTTGTGGTGCTGCGTGTTCACATCACAGCATGCTGCACCTTCAGACAACAATATAATTTCCTGGAGAAGCATTCTTCCATTTGTTGAGCTATTGTCATCGTGCATCACCATGATTTGCTCAGCTGTTTCAGAGCAACAAGACCAGATATGAACGGCTGAAATTGTACTTAATGATCACCACTCCCTCTGATCTATGTTTGCCCTTACCCAGCCAGTTTACACTTTGCCCTGCTGCATGTACATGAACCAAATTAGCAGGTCTTTGCACCCAAGACCTACCGCTTTGATTTTCTCATAGTGCCTGCTGGCCTTTAAACACACTTCACATACATATACCTCCATATTGTCTTTTTTCTCAGACACCCACACACTCTTCCTTTTCATCTGTCTCTGTCTTACACCTACATACACACTGCTACTGCAGGACGATTGGACTTAAAAGTCCTTTCACAGCTTCCTTTCTATAACATGCAGCCTGGTAGACATTTTACTGTGACATATAATTTTCCATGTGCTGGAAGGCCACATAAACACAGAGCCATATGTCGTTGGAAAAGGCCTAAATTAGACTCTTTGATAGAACAAAACCTCACTGAGAAAGATTTCCTGAAAGACTGAATTGTGTAAAATGTAGTTTTGTACAAATGTTTAAGTTCACGGTAAAACGATTACATCTAAAAAATAAGTAAGTGAGTAGGATGATAGTACATTCTTCACATCATGATGCAGTACACTCAGGTACGCTTAATCTCTGCAGCACGTGACCAAAAAATTTCATATCAAAAGTTTCGGTCTGTGGCAACAAGACCCCACAGGAGTGTGCTGAATTACTCCTGATGATCAAACGTGATAATGTGATAAATATTGTGGTCAACAGGTAGACAGTCTGCCAGTCGACATTCTGGCTTGATTGTGGTTTCACTTATCAGATTTGTTGAAACACTTGCTCACACATAAACACTTAGCTCCAGCATACAGGTGGTATCCCTCTCTGGGATAAGTGAAGTTGTCATCTTAAAACTTGTTTGCCAGCTTGGAAAAGCTGTTGACAGAGGAAAAGGAAACATTATTTTGCTGCTGGTTGGCTTCTGCCATCTAAAAACCCACAGACAGGCACATCTATTTACAAACTTACATGCTTTTAGCACTTGGCTACGAAACAGATCGAACCAATGACAGAAAGTTTTTGTTAGAGGCATAGAAAGAGACGTTCCATGGAAAGAAAAACTACACACACTACATTAATGTGCCTAAAACAGAGTATAATTTCAGAGAGGAAAAGAACAGGGTTTCCCTCGCAACCACTAACCAACTATTTATGCTATTCTCAACAAGAATGTGACTGATGTTACTCTATTTCCATTCCCCAGAGTCAATTTTCTAATCTGTCCAAATGATCTGTGGCATCTGCCAATTCTAATTACATGGTAATCAAGCTCAACCTGTTTCTTGTAAATACTAAATTTAAGCTACCGCATTTACATTATGTCTGAATGTTGCCTTTAGAGCTGCATCTGCTGTCAGTCTTTGACATGTTATGTTTTAGTGGGTTGGATCATTTGTGACACTGATTTCGGGGAGAATGAAAGTGAAGAATATTTTCTGTTCAGACTCCATCTGCTAACTCTCTAACGCCCATCATCATTACATTTATCATCACCATCAGTGAGTTAAATTACAGGGACAACGTTTCCATTTCCCTTTTTGACCAGCATTGTTATTTTACTGTGTAATTTTGCCGCTGAACTACATAAACATATAGAGTACTGTATGGGAGTAAAACATCCTGACTGCCTGTGTGTGTATGTGTGCACAAAAAGTGTGTGTGGCCAGTTTCTTGGAATTTATTTTCAGGTTTTTGTGGAAATCCCAAACTGTGTGAAATCCACAAACTGCACCCCAAGGTTTAAATAGAGCGTGTCACTGTGCATTTTGAGGATCCCTTGGCTGGGTCCTGTGTTTGTCCTGATAAGTTAAACAGTGGGAGTTAGGATCTAGTTTGTGGCCTTTACCATGCAGATAGAGGCAGAAGTGGTTTCGATGTGATCTTTTTCATACATACGCATGGTGACCAGTATGGGAACAGGGCTACAATCTACCAAAACCAACACAGAGACAGATTGGGTTAGGCTGCAATCTGGTCCCTACCATTTCGGTCATCCTTCTTCTCGCCCTTCTTTTTTTGGTTTTTCTCTCTTTCCCCCGCTTTCTGTGGTTTTGGTTGTGTTTATTTCAATGCTGCAAGTTTGCAGTTTGCCCTTTGTTTTAAGAAAACACTGAAGCCATAGTTTGTTCTATGTGTTTTTACATACTGCCACCGGTTTGCTTTCACCAAATCTTAAGCGTTTTTCCACCATCTTGTATGTTGTTTGGAGATTATCTGGTTTTAAACAACAAATGAAAGTCTTTTGTTTTGTTGCCACAGATTTGGCCTCGTTTGCTCACCCAGGGTGGCGGACTACACACAATGTTGTTTTTGTTGTGCCTAAAGCAACAGAATGGTGGTAATGGGGTGTGACAGATCCCTAAAGTAGATGTTGGTGGTGCTGCTTGACAGATAGGAGCTTTTTATTGTTGGTTTGATGCTAAAATAGAGAAAGCACATTCATGTGAAAGGAATAGAAGGCCTTGCATGAGTGTTTGCTGTTTTGCTTGATAAAATCTGCTAATGCCTTTGTGACTATGTTGGGTGGCCCCGAAAAAGTACACACAAAATATAATGCCCATGCCTCTTTCTGTTTAGCCTCTTAATTTTTGTCAGCATGGTTTCTAAATCTACCTCATCTTCTCTCTCTTCAGGCACAGGACCGATCCATATGAACAGTGTACAGTGTATGGGGACAGAGCACTCCATCCTAGACTGCTACTACCAGGAAGTTCCATTGTGGACGTTCAAACACAGCCAGGACGCCTCAGTACGCTGTAATGTCCCTAAAACCGGCATAGAGAACACGGTATGAAAACTGACAGAAGACTTACACTTATCAGCTCTCACTGATAACACAGCTAATCCCTTCAATCTGATGGATTTTCAGGTGCGGCTTGTTGGAGGTAGAGTCCCGTCAGAAGGCCGTGTGGAAGTGTTGATGGAGGTTGGGGGTCGTAAGCGCTGGGGCTCTGTCTGTAGTGAGAACTGGGGCATCAACGAGGCCATGGTGTTATGCAGACAGCTCGGCCTGGGCTTTGCAGCCAGCGCTCATCAGGTAACAACCTCCCTGACCAAAGTTACATTCATAACTGACAAGGTGATGATAGCAAGCCTGTCACTTTGATCTCTGATTGTAGGGCCACCCCTTAATCTGAAAACTTTTCTCAAAGTCTGATCATCAGTGTCTTAAATGATGGGCATGATGTCACAAACAATGATACACTCCCATCTCTAAACCAATTAGTGTAATTTTGAAAATGTCAGACTGGAGTGTTCAGAGGCATCATTCCTCCAAGATTTGTCAAAATCCCATCAGCAGTGTCTTGAGTTATTGATGAAAGAACAAACAAACAGATGTTTAAACAAATGAACTCATGGAGGCTAATCCATAGTCACAGCCCCTGTATTCACTGTGGTGGACAATGAGCTATGATGCTGCTCTTTGATAGAAAACCTGACAAGCTTTCTATGTCCTCTGACCCCACCCCCTTGCCCTTCCTTTGACAGGAGACCTGGTACTGGCCAGGTGACTCATCTGCAGGTGATGTGATTCTTAGTGGAACTCACTGTGTGGGCACAGAGCTTTCAATTCAACAGTGTCGCCGCAACAACCATGTTCATTGTCCTCGAGGAGGCGGAACTAAGGCTGCTGGGGTCAGCTGTTCAGACAGTAAGTCGATCCGTCTTCCTCTAGTCCCCCATCTTCTCCTCTGCTTCTAAATCTGGTTGAATTCTAACATGATCTTTCACGTCTGACCTGCTTCAGCGGCACCTGACCTCGTTTTGGATTCCCAGCTGGTCCAGGAGACAGCCTACCTGGAGGACCGACCGCTCCACTTGCTGACCTGCGCCAACGAGGAGAACTGTCTGTCCTCGTCTGCTGCCAGGATGAACTGGCCTTATGGACACAGACGCCTGCTGCGCTTTTCCTCCCGCATCATGAACCTGGGTCGATCTGACTTTAGACCCAAAGCAACAAGAGAGAGTTGGACATGGCACCAGTGTCACAGGTAGAGCATCCCTGACGACTGAATAGAGGTGTTGCAGTACTTAGGGTGTTGCGATGGAAAGAACTATTTAAACACTTACTATATGTGAGATGTTGTGGTTGAGCTTGTGGTAACTTTAAATGTTTTTTGAGAAAGCTGTGGTCTTGAGTGTCCTGGATACAGGTGAGTTGTGGTTTGTAGAGGCCGACGAAAATATTCTGACAAACACCTGTTCCTCGTACAAAATTGCCTGTACGTGCAAAAATGGCACAGCTCCTTCAATGTTGAGCAATTTGAGATATATTTAATTTAATTGCATTCAATTGCTACCAGCAGAAAAAAACATGCTGACGTGATCTGTGTACCAGGGCCCATATGGTTTGACAGGGGAGCTGCAGGTTGCATGCAACATAGGCATTAAACACAAGAGCCCTTTGTCTGTCACTGGGCCTCAGCAGCATTCTGTCCATGAGTTGTAAATAGATTAAATATTGCCCGCAGGTCTACTCTTAACAAATTAACTCAGCCGCTTAGTTTGCCCCGCTCAGTCAGTGAGTTAGTTTTGTCAGATGACGAGAGCACTTTCAGGCAAGTCGTCATGAGAGAAGAAGGAGTCATTTGAGGCCCACAGTATTGGCTGTGTGACATGTGTCCCAGTAAGTTACGGGTGGCCTCAAACAGTGTTGTCATCTCTCCAGATTCATTAGCTGCCCTGCAGCATGTGTGGAAATGATGGCTGAACCAGTTACCACAGGTCTGGCATTATACAAAGCACAGGGTAGCCAATGCACAGTCAGGTCCGTTTCAGTTTGTTACAACAACACATCAGTGCTATGCATGTGTGTTTCAAAGCCCTCCATTCACTCAGAATGAGTAAACAGCTCAACCAAGCTGGCGCTTAAACAAGCTTCTGTGAGAGGTGTTACGGTGACACCCCACGCTCATGTTCAAGCAGTGAGGTCATTAGGCTACAGGCCATAGGGAGCTAGTGTTCATCTAGCGTAAATGCACACACTCATAGATGTACAGAAACACACACGTACGCACTCTCACCTGGACTTTTCCTCCTGTCCTCCCAGGCACTACCACAGTATCGAGGTGTTCACACATTACGACCTGCTGACTCTGAATGGCACGAAGGTTGCCGAGGGACACAAGGCCAGTTTCTGTCTGGAGGACACGTACTGCCCCGACGGTAATGTTCACCACTATTCATGAGCCCCAGTAAAATACTCTTTCCCATTAGTGACAGGAAATTAATATCAATATTTCAGCTACAGCTATTTGGATTTTTACTTTGTGGTTAATGTGTTAGATCACTGCTGTTGTTGTTTGTTCACTCTCCATTTACTTGTTATATCATGGATGAAATGGCTCAGATGAAAAAGGAGCGTTCATATGTAGTCTGACGCAATTCAGGAAGCTAAAGGCTCTTAAAAATACCAGGGAGTGCCGAGCATTAAATGAGCTTTGATGCTGTGATTGATAATGTTGGTGGTGTGTGTGTATGTGTGCTAGGACTCCAGAAGCGCTTCTCCTGCTATAACATGGGTGATCAGGGTATCTCTGTGGGCTGTTGGGATACATATCGCCACGATATCGACTGTCAGTGGGTTGATGTGACGGATGTTCGGCCAGGAGACTACATCTTTCAGGTCAGAAGTCATTTTATCTTTCTCACTTCTCCCCATTTGCAGTTTGGGTACATTTCAATTTTTTTTTCATGTCACAAAAATCAAACACCATTAACTTTGTGTTTAAAGGAATAGTTCAGCATTATGGGAAATATGATCATTTTGCTCTCTTGCCAAGAGTTAGATGAGAAGATCTATGCCACTCTTGTATCTCTATGGTAAATATGAAGTATTAGCTTAGCCAGTTAGCCTAGCTTAGCACTACAAACAACTTAACACTGGTTGCTCGCCAACATTATGGGTGAGACATTACTCCAACTGCACCCAGCCAAGAAAGAGTCCGACACATAATCTCCCATAAAACCACAATTTGATGTCTTACACTTGTGTATTTGTACTGATTAAACGAACAAAACATAATGTGCTAATTGGTAAGCTTTAGATGGTTAATTGGTAAATGGACTGCACTTGTATAGCACTTTTCTAGTCTTCCGACCACTCAAGGAGCTTTTACACTACATGTCACAGTCACCCAGTAACACACACAGTCACGCACTTGTGGCTAAGGCAACCATACATGGTGCCACCTGCTACTCAGTGACCATTCACACACTCTCACACACTGATTTGGAAGCAATTTGGGGTTCAGTATCATGCCCAAGGACACTTCAACATGGGGACTGGAGGAGCTGGGGATGGAACCACCGATCTTCCAATTGGTGGTACGACCCACTCTACCTGGTGCTGGTTTGAATTTTGTAACCTTTGAACAGAGGCAGGCTAGCTGTTCCCTCTGTTTCCAGTTTAAGCTAAGCTAACTGGCTGCTGGCTGTAGCTTTATGTAGTGTACGGGTACGAAAGCAGTATTAATCTTCTCTAACTCTACAAACATCAGAATTGAATGTACAAGCGGTACATATTTTCCCAAGTGTTTAACCATTCTTCTAAAGAAAAACTTAACCCCCCAAATGACCATTTCTTTCCAACAGTTTTTTTTGTTTGTTTTTGTTTGTTTTTGCATGCCTCCTATGAATGAAGAATCCAAAAACTGAAAATTCTTAATAAATTAAAGTCAGTGTTGAACCACAGCAAAACTGTATCTAGACATTGCTTATTGCTCACATATGCCCTCTTAAAAGCCAGACTCCACTGACAGAAAGTGTAATTTTACCTCACTGAACATGCGAGCTGCTGGTTTACCACTGCCTTGACCAATACATTTTTTGTGTCATTGTGTGACTGGTGAGTCTGAGCTAAACATTTAAAACATCAAAGTCACACAATAACACAAACAAACTAAGTGATCGAGGCAGCGGTAGACCAGCAGCTCTCATGTTCAGCGAGGTAAAATTACAGTTTTTGTTAATGGAGTCTGGCTTTGAAGGAAGCATATATTAGTTTCACTTTCAGTTCAGTTGCCCATTGGAAAGGACTCTCTGTTTGAGAAGTAAGCATACAACTGAATAAACGAGACTTGGATTATATTGCACAAGTTGTGTAAGTGCATGTAGACGGATGTTTTGATATAGTTTGGGTGTTGTTAAACCTGGACCTCTTTGACTTCAATTCATCAAGAATTTTGTCAGTTTTTGGATTCTTCGTTCACCTGAGGTATGCGTGTAAGTGAGTAATTGGATTACAATTTTTGGGGGGGTGAAGTATTCCTTTCAGGCCGGAGATTTAGTTAATGAGAAAGAGGTTCACAGGATCTTAAGGTGGACTTCCTTATGATTCTTTCTGGTTTCCGTCTATTTCAGTAAAACCTCTCGACCTCCCTCATTACAGTCATCACCTCAACCACTCCTCTGTCTGTCATTACATTGACCCAGGTCAATCAGTCGACTCATTGTGGCTCCTAGACTTAAACACATCAAGGGCTCCGTCTGCCATTATCGTCCATTTCCAGTTCAGACTACTGATCCCACCATGTACGCAGCAGTCCTCAGATCTCATGCTGCCAATTACCTCCCAGCTGCGGCGGATTGGTTACAGTGTAACTCAATGTCTGATAATTACTGCTGTCACCCAGTTTGTCTGAGAGGTCACTCTCAATCTTTGTAATTACACTTCTCTGCTCCCTATTGAAGATGGATTTATTTAATTTACTCGCAATAGACGTGACAGACATATATATAAACGCATGTGCTGACTGGATGTATTTTAAGCATGTGGAGTGGGGCGTAATTATAAAGCCGTACATTGCTACAGTACAATGTGGAGGCGGAAAGAAGGAAGGAATGATAGAGGACAGAAATGGAGTTTAGATAAATGGGAGAAAGAAAATGGAAGAACTACTGAAGGTGAAAAGGTCAGGGCCAATTGGGGAGAAAAAGCACTTAAGGGGACAAAATTTAACTGAGAAGAACAAGAGAGAGAGAAGGGAAGACACAAGCAGCCGAGCAGCGAGTTCGTTTTTCACCAAGGCTGCAGAATTGGAAAAATACAAGCATCTTTTACAGCAGCTCTCCGTCTCTCCGCTGTGTTCTTTCATTTATCTAGTAAAGTGCAGATGATGTCTGACTTTCCTGATGCTGGGATTTACAGAAAGATCCAGCAGGCCTACCCTTGAACCACCCACTGCTAATGAAACACACCAATTACCCAAATTAACTATTGCCTCCCTTTAGTCAAACAGCAGCTCGTCCCCTCTTCCATTAGGAACGGCTAATTTGCCTCCAAGGAATTCCTCCTGCCCTGTTTTTATTTTTATTGCCACTTTCTCACTGAGCAACACATTCTGCCACTGAAGCGGCCCTCTTCAGAAGCCCCGTACACTCCAGTCCAACACTGTAATTTACCCCAGAAAAATTAAGAGACAGCTTTTGTGCATTCACAAAGTTTTTTAAAGTTTTCTGCCTTTTTTTAGTGTAGTTTGCCTTCTTTCCCCCTGTAGCTGTTTGGAACATGTACTTAAAGTGGGTGTAGCAGTTTACAGAGCAGCTATTAGAGTAAATGGCTTCTCAGTATTATCACCAGACCAGATTAAGAGAAAGGTTGTATCAGCAGTTATGGAGCTGCTCTGCAAATGACAGACTATTAGTATGGCAGCGCTCACAGTGAGGCTGATTTCAGACATATAAACATGCTTATGCATAAATACTCCGTTGCAACAGACTTCAATTTCAGGCTAATTCAGTGCTTATTCTTGCATACCTATGTTGGTGTGACGAGCAGTTCTCTCTGGGGACTACACTGTGGCATAACCACATTCCATCAACTTCAGCTGTAAAGTTGCATAACCTCTTACGCAGCTAATTATCATGTTTCGTGTGGGCTGGAGTGTCTTTGTTACATGTTCTCATACAAGTTATAAAGTATTTTACGATTAGCTTTACTTGAAGATCTACCAGAGTGTTTTGTGCTTTGCATAAACACATGGTAAAAGTAAGTGTTTTCACCGCTGCATGTTTTTCAGAACATACGCTCAGCTGTAGGCTATGACGTGAACATCATTCAACTTTAGGTCCACGAGAAAGTATTTATCTTTCCAAATAGGAATACAGTATGGAAAAGTCATCCAGCTTTTTATAGATGAGAAAGGGATTGACTATAAAAACAATACCAGCCACGAGTGCTGTTTAATAACAGGCCCTCTAACAATTTTACATCCAACTGCTCTTTATTTCAAATGGCTTTCTCAGTGTGTAGTGAGAGGAGACTCGCTCCTTGTTTGACCACGTGCCGGGCCGGCTGGAGATATACTATTAGATGAAACTGAGAACAACAAAGTGATAAATTTTCCCTGTTTTCTAGTAAATGTTCGTCCCGATGATGAAATATGCAGCTGCGAGTCGTAAGATCAAAACATTGTGATATTGAATCGGTGCTTACGTTAACAGAGGCTGTGTGTGATTGTGTCATTTCACAGGTGGAGGTTAACCCCTCGATGGACATGGCTGAGTCTGACTTTATGAACAATGTCATGAGATGTCGGTGCAAATATGACGGCCACAGAGCTTACATGTATGGATGTCATGCAGGTAAGGAAAGAAAATCCCTTCATCTTAATTTCTCCCCTCCTCTGTCACTAGGGCTGGGTATTGCTACTCAATGTCTTTAAGGTATTGACTGAAATAACCCAGAACTTTGTATTATTAAAATGTCCCCAGTCAATCAACACCTATGTTTGATCTCCCCACAATGGACAGTGGGTTCGCACGAGCTAATGCAGCAGCAGCGGCTAACATGTCTCACAAGTTCTTTAATGGTCCCAACAAACTTACACCAAAACCAAAATGACTCTGTTGTTACACCTATTAATAACCGTTAGGTAACATTAGCAGAATGATGCTAACAGTTAGCCCTGTCACTGTGTGTGGACGGGTGGACTCCCACAACTATCCCTGGCTCAGAGCTCAATGCTTGACAGTTCAGTGAGCTGAGATGCCACCCAAATGTTCGAAAGTATGGCTATGTTACACACCACTCCGATCATATTATGGGTATCGAATAAAGTACTCCATCGGTATTGGCATCACTTTAACGATACGATACTTAGCCCACTCCATCAATGATTGTTACGCTCTTTCCTCCTTTATAGGTGATGCATACAGCGCAGAGATCGAGGACCTGTTTGAACACCAGAGGCAAATCACCAACAACTTTGTGTAGCCCATCCCAGGGCCCAGCGCGAAGGCCTTCCAGTGGGGCCCAGAGACTACTCAGGGTGGGCTGAGGTCAATGGCCCCAGGCCCTTGGGACCTTAGGACCCACAATAACAGACAACACAACAACACCAACACACCTCCTTGGCAGATGTGGATAAAACACTCACAAGCACATCATATCACAGCAGCGACCATTGCAGAGACTTCATTGACAACAAGAGTGGAACAGGTGCCAGATGGCTCAACATGTTTTTAACTCTAGTTAAGTAAGAAGATATTGGATATGGATTCAAACTATACTGAATTTTGTGAATGTGGATGACTAGTAACTTAAGGTAGTTATTCAAAAACGTATACGCATGAAAGTAATGTCGCTATAACTAAACTGTCACTAAGACAATGAGGAAGCTGTCGGGAAATCTCACTCCCAAAATAGAAGATATGGAAAAATGAGAAAAATAATAATATTGTGAATTTGTGTAATTTCTGTTACAAATGGTTGGATTAATGCACATGCAGCAAAAAGTACTATAATTTGCTCTGTTGGCATTATTTTACCCAAATTCTTTACTTGTTGAATTTTGTAACTGTTGCGCTTTTACATTACTTCAATATTGGTGCTCTCTAACAATACTGTATGTCGTTATTTTAACCTCACTACGTTTCAGGTGAACAGTGTTGTACAATGCATTTTGGTTTTATTTTACAGTTAATGAGGTATTTTATCATTGCTTTGGTTTTAACAAAATCATTGTTTTATAAAAGTGTAGTCGTGCTACAGCGTTTTGCTTCTCATCTAGAATAGGTAAGAAGAGGTCAAATGATTTTTATGGAACAAAGCACTTTATCTTTTATACAGCAGTATTCCAGTTTTGCCCTTTTTTTTTTTTTAAATCAGCCACCAATTTGACTTTTTAAGATGTATATCTAAAAAACACTTTATTGTGTTTTACATTTGAGAAAGTGAAATATAAGGTTTGTGTTTAGTTTTCATATTCAATGTACTATTTATGCTGTAACTTTATTTATTCATGGTTTTCACACATACACAGCATGCTCAGTAAAGAGTTTGTTAGCTAGCGCTTAATTAACAATACTGATTTTTTGTTTTGTTTTTCTGATGTTATTAACCAGGAAGGAGAAACTGATTTCATACAGGGCATAATATTAGATCGTTCCCATGATACAGAAGAATAATTGTTGATTTATTTTTGTTATTAAAACAACTGTAACTGTACAGTTTTTCTCCTCCAGCCTCTGCGATGGGAGGGAGAAACCACAGTATTGTGGCAGGCTGGCAGGCTGGGTTTTGAGAGCATATAAAAAGCCTTTTAATTACGTCTGTTTGGGTTAGACTTAAGGTTACAGTTAAGGTTAGGGCTATAGCATGTGCTTTATAAAGAAACACTATGGAATTGTAACTTAGGGAATCACAGGGAGAGGGGGAATCCATCTTTACACAAGCTACGAGTCAGACTCTGAGTGATTCAGTGAGACAGTGATTTAAAGAAAGACTGAGGAAGTGACACAGAAAGAGAAAGAGGGATGAAGTTCGGAGAAAGACTTATGCAGACATACAGTTTTTACTAGCAGAGCTGCCTTTTTGTAGGCAGCCATACAGAGACCACAAGCTGGCTTTTTCAGCTCCCCAACAAGAACAACATGTTTGTCTGGGAGAGAAAATATACTCCTCAATTCACGCTTTGACACAGTAAACAGTGGCCTTATTTTTACTAAAGCCGGGCCTGCTCAAATATACTGTATCTCTCTTGACACTCGCTTCGCTAGCGTTTTAGCTCCACACCAAACAATGATGCAACTCCTTGTGCTTTACAACATGGAACTTGTGTTAATCATGTTGTGTTATCCCATTAATGTGTTTGATGTGCTTGGCTTAATGTCTTAGTGGTTAAACCTGTTAAGACATGTTTTTTTCTAATGGCCAGTTTCCAGGACACGCTGTGGAAAGGACAAGTCACTCATAACGACAACTGTAGACTGAATTAATTTCTTTAGCACATTGTTTCCCTCCTCGCGGGGATTTAATGATTTTGAGCCCACAAAGAGGGTTCCGAAAAACGAGTAGCTGTTTAGGAAAACTTTTTAGCCCCATTACTAAAAACTGATGGAGATATAAATGTTAGTAGACATGAAAACTTCAATGAGTGTTTACTGATATGCTTTTCTGTTTGTTTGTGCTTGTGTACAGTTGCTATTGACATATTATGGTCTGTTCTGTGTTATTTAAAATTATATGCCATTCCATATCCTAAGTGGGTTCATATTCGCCACTCTCATATTACTGTATTGTACCCATGCTATAGGCGTAGCACTGGGACATTGTTTTCCATGGCCAGTTGTGTTTTACTTTTTGTCTATAAAGCCGAGAGTGTGAGCTACATGGTGCTTATCTACAATCATATTCATAGAAAGCTGTGCTCTCAGGGACTTTAACCTCATCTAAAGAGAAAAAAAATGTTTCATGTGATGTGATTAGGGTTGCTTTTAGCTGTGATGCATACACTCTCATAAAAAAGTACCCACATGTTTATTTTACAGGTAAAAATTGAAGTAATTAAGGTGATAAGCTTTGTTACATGTTTTCCTCAAGGGAAGTTAGGATGACTGTGGATAGACACTGGCTGAATCAGAGGCAAATTTCAGTTCGAGACCAAATCGCAATCCATTCATTCATCATTACTGTGAATCAATAAAACTTCATCACATACTAAGCTGTCCTCCGCTTCCTGCCTCCTTCTTGCTGCTAATACATGACGCTGCAGAATGTTGTTGATGAGAAAGTGGCTCGATTTGTTTGCTCTGCATCAAGACGACAGTAGATTCTATATAATATGTTGTATTTTCACTCCACCTGCTCTGATACATGGGAGTCATTTTGCGGGAAGATCTGATCTGTCCAAACTGATTACTCATGCATTCTGGGCGCTTAATTTTTATGCACTTAAAGGCTGGTGGAATACTGGAACTTTATTTTACAAGGTTTCCCCTAAAATGCCTAGGCGGCCCAAAGACAACCCTTTCAAGCTGTTAGACTTTCTGTGACTTAATCCTTTGCAAACACTGCCCCTCATGGGAACCGAGAAATCACCTAACTATTTCAGTAACAAAAATACACAAATGTGTCCAGGAATTAATGACTAAATTCAAGCATATCAACTCTGGGAGAAGCGGGGTGGAGTAATCAGCTATGTCTGGAAAGGAAATTTACTCTTAACAAAAGTTTGATTTGATCACAGCTGACAAGTCCACCCAGAAAGAAAACAGCGGAGCTGTGAAGTGGTCGCTCGTTGGGATGAAACAGCTGCTGTGCAAACAGGAAAGGAATACTTGAAAGCACCTGGCTGCACAGAGTGTACTCACACACATTCAGCATCCTTTCATGCACTTTCAGCATACTGTATTCCTATAAACACACGTGGAAGTGCACACACACTGTGAGCAAGTAGGGTGGACTTCACAGATTATCCGAACTAATATTGGGTCTTAAAGTCTTTTTTATTTAGTCTGACTTTTTTACCAGAGAAAATGCAAGTTAGAGATAAAGCCACTTGGTCTTTGTAGTTTGTCTTGTTCTTTGGAAACATGTCACTCCCTTGGAAAGAGCAGATTATCTCATCACACTTGCAGACACTAGTATCTAGTGTCTGGGACTGGCTTTAAGAGAATGTGATTTTGTAAGATTACATCTCCAGCGCAGCGTGGACATCCAAAGTGAAACCCAAGCGAACCGAATCGCTCGATCAAGATGAATCAGGACAGAAGAAAGAAAGCAATCTGAGGTTTAACAAAAAAGAGTTGAGGACATATGACCAAACTCTCACTCATAAACCCTCGGCTATGCAGTTCTCATTTTATCCTCACAGGCCCACTTCCTGTTTGCTGCACGTGTTTTTATTTGGGAGGCCCCCTTTGCCACCCCACCCTGACCTGATGGGGACCACAGTCGGCTACACAATGGAGACTGTGTGTGCTCCCTGAATGACAGACCTGTCCATACAAGCTACAAGGAACCCTCTCCATCTCTTCACACACACACACACATACACACACACACACACACACACACAACTGGAGTGCATGACAGGTTTTGCCATCATCTCTTTTGGAAGCAGTGTTCCATGGTTCTATACGACAGACAAACATGACGAGGGATTTTTGTGATCAAACTTCAGATTATTGAGCAGGAATGTCTCTGCTGAAAGCCACATGGCTGCTTTCATAATAGGAACTGTTGTGCTGCCTTCATGATGACGTGCTTTTTATCACGTTCAGGGTGTTGAGCCGCCGCTGTGTAATCTAAGAAGCTGATGAGAGGGCTCATTAGTGTTTTCTCCCACTTAGAATTGATTGTTATTTTGCATGTTAACAGTATGTGAGCGTGTCTCCATGTGCTCATGGATCATAAGCAGACCACCTGACACGTGAGCCCTAACTCATCACCTGGGATTGTTAATATTTGCAGATAAGGAGAGGCTTTCCTGAATAATGAATGCATTTGCATAATTGTCCCATCCTGTTGAGTGAAAAACACATTATGAGACACATTCAGTTTCCATGTCAGGCCCATTGAGAGCGTAAATGAATAGTCAGTGAGATATAATGACTTACAGAAGCAAAGACGGCGCTTACAAATTAGTACAATGCCTTTTCATAGGTGCTTGTAAAATGTTATCTTCTTCTTTATGTGCTTACTGTATTGCTGGAGCATTGGAGTGAATGTGTGTGTGTGTGTGTGTGTGTGTGCTTGTGCACGTACTTACCCCCCACCACCCCGATCCTCTCCTCTCTAGTATGAGATTTATTGCAAAACAGCCCTGTGAGAGAGTACACATGCTCTGCCCAGTCTCTGTACTGCACCCTGACAATTACTGCTATATATACCGCTCCAAATGAGAGCCATGAACCGGCGTGATTATAGGGTGGAGCAGGAGCAAAGAGGGAGAGAGAGGGGGGGAACAAAAAAGTGAGGCGAGCTGAGAGAGAGAGAGATAGAGAGAGAGGGAGAGGAGAAGGGCGACAGGCAATACAAGTGGAAGTGACTGAAGTCTGCTGTAAATTGTATTGTGCACTTTTCATAAATCACAGCGTGTGACACACTATGCTTTAGTCTGAATGGCTTCCTTTTTGAAATAGTGAAGTAGGAGAGATGAGATTAAAGGGATGGGAAGCATGCAGGGAATGAGCAGCATCCTCCTCGACTTTGAAGATGATGACCTCTGTCTGCATACTTCTCGATAAATTACACAGGGGCGCTTCACACGTCAGATTACTGTATGTGGCACAAGTTACAGTAACGTTTGATAAAGAAGTGCTGCCCTCTTCTGGAAGTGAGGGAAACCAAATAAATCAGGTATGAATGAGAACTTGAAACTGAAAAAAAAAAGTGACAAGAGCAGCATTTCCTCACTAAGAGTTTAGATTTCTTAAGTCCTGTGTAAACTGTCCACAGTGCAAACTGAGATAAGAAAGCAAATTGATTCCTGGAAGCCTGAGAAGAAAATAGACATAAAAGAGGAGAAAAATGGGTCTCATGCAGAGACATTTGTCTTAAATTTCTCTCTTTCTTAATTGTCTGTTAATAGAAAAAGTAAGAGAAATCGACTCCAGATGCACCAAAAACTCTTAAGCATCCAAATCTGCTCTTACAATTAGCACAGGTAACATCCTCTAAACACTATATGTGGGCAGGTGTTGTGCTGTGTGCAAATACTCTGACATGTGCCCAAGAACCGGAGAGATGCCACCAAAAAAAGGCTGCAATAAGTTTGGCAGTAGTGAAATCAACCTACTGTTAAATTAACTTAAACAAAGTAAATGTGGGTTTCCAGAGTGTCAGAACTTGTGTCAAAATGAGCAAAAATCTTAATTTGTAAAGTAACAAGAGACTTAAGTCATCAAATATATGTTGAGGTGTAAAAAGTACAGTATTTCCTTCTAGAGTGGAGTACAAATAGAGAGTGGCATGAGATTAATTTACTCAAGTAAAGTAAAAGTTCTTCAAATTGTGCAAAAATTATGTTATGAATATATAAAACTTAAGTTTCCTTGCACTGGACAAATATGTGGGGTATGAAAACAATCTCTTATATTGGTAAAAGTGCTCTCAACCACACATACATTTTTCTCTTAAAAATAAGAAAACATTGGTGAATCTCAGAAATCAGTGGCTGCTAACAAAATATGAGAAATCCTGGATACAAACAAAAACAAAAGAAAATTTGTTTGTATAACGCTTCCTGCACTGAGGCCCAATATTTGACATAAACGTGAAGAAGCTTCCACAGGCTACAAACAGTCAGTCGCTTTACTTCTTCTCCATTTATCTATCTCTTATTTTGCTATTGGCTGTCCAACACTGAGCTTGTCACATCAGCTGACAGGCTGCTGTCAGTCATGGGGCTGCCCTGACTGTGCGGTCACCTCCGCCTGGCTGTCTGGTGACATCAGGCCGCATAAAAAGCCGCATCTCAAGAAAGATTGATAACACAGGAACTGATGTCACAGCGAAAATCCCCACATATGATGTATGGAAGTGCTGGGTGTAATAGATGCAGGTTGTTGCAGAGCTCAGGCCCTGGTGATGAGCCATTCACTAAATAGATCAGCCTACCTAATGGGGTCATGAGACTGTGGGAAAAGTGGTGAACTGGGATATGTTGAGTAGAGAATTGGCTGTTCTTTCAATCCCCCCCACCCCTCCATGAGCAGAAACCATCCCTGTGGGGGGAAAAGCAGCAGGATCACATTACCCATGGACCAGTTTTCATCGTACAGAAACCCACGCTCTGCCTCACTCCAGCGGCTCGCATAATTGGAAGCATCTTGGCATGAAGATAGAGTCAAGGTGGCATATCAATGGGCGCGTACTCCAAGGGCATGCAGATAAGAAAATGCTTCTTCTCTTAACAGGTCGTGTCCATGATAGGGTCACTGGCCCTCCCTAAAAAGAGAGCAGGCTGGGTGTTGACTCACATACAAATAGCTATAGCTGATCAGTGGTGTGGAGCCTTGTTGTACAATTCACTCCCAGTGGCACTCATCCCTAACGCCAACAAGAAACTGTTTTGTTCCCAAGCCTTGTCTCATTATGTATGCATGTATGGCAGCAGAGAATTCCTGCAGCTCAGGATAGAGAAACCAAGCCATGATTGTTTTACAGTGGCTTCATGCAACATGGCTGAGAATCAATTCTCATGAACAGTGATTTGCTCTGAAAGTTTGCTGCTTGTTGCTCTTGTGTGAACATGCAGTAAGACATTGATATGTCCAGTTTCACCAGGGTTTTTGTAATCAGTATCACAATGTCAAGTGTCACTGATTTAGAGTTGGACTCTATAAAATGTGGGGACTTGCAGTGGAAAGATGAAAAAATAGTTGAAATCAATGCAGCAGATGTTAAGATATCCTTACTGGTGGATAAAAAAAAAACACATTTCCCACAATGCAATCTCTATTTACAGATTTTTGATATGTATGCACAATCTATGGGCAACAGACTATTGCAGGGCTAACACAAAGAGACAGACAACCATTCAAACCACGCCCAACTTAGAGTCACCAATTAACCCGATGTGCATGTCTTTGGAATGTGGGAGGAAGCTGGAGTACCCAGAGAAAACCCATGCTGGCACAGGGAGAACATGCAAGCTCCTCATGGGGGAGTCGACTCCATTGTGTAGCCGACTGTGGTCCCCATCG